AATCTCCTCTCATTCTGAAGAATCCTTGTTTTTCTAGCTATATCTGGAATGTGCTCTCTTATTTTACAAGACTTAGGACATTTTCTAAATAAAAAATAAATGATAATGATGACCAGAACTGTAATGCCTCTTGGTTTCAGACAAGGGTAGGAAGATGTTTTCTGTTTGAATTCCAGTACCTGCTTTTCAATTTTTTCCTGATGTAAGCCACTTTACAACCCCACTGAGAAAATCTCTCAATTTGACTGCAGTCCAATCATGCTAAACTAACTTCTCTACCTAATTTGACTATTACATGTACTTAGAAAGAGAGGTAAGAAAGAAAAATTATTTTCTTAATACTGAAAAAATACTTAAGCAAAAAAACCTAACTTTCTGGCCATAATTGAACCTATGGTTTTACAATGACTTACACTTTTTCTTCCCATAATTCAGTAGTCTAGCAATAAATATAATGAGGACAACAGGAGCAGGTTTCTCATTGTCAGAGAAGAGAGTATAAATAAAACGAACGCTGAAATTTTGTACTAGAACTGGATGTATCAATATAAATTCAAGGTTTTTTATTTTACACACATAGAGACACAGAAATATAGCTACACATGTGTTATGTGCTAGAATGTCAAAAGAAGAACTCACAAGGACACAAGAGCTAGCCACTGGGCCAAATCTGAGACAATGTGAACACCAAAATAAGAAAAGAAAAAATCAAAGCCACTGGCCAAAAAACAAATTAATGAGCCCACAACACTAATAAGTAAATGGGGGCAAGGATGCTGCAGAGTGCTGACTGCCAGCTGGTTAAATTCAGAAATGCTAGCACTATAAAACAGTTGTTACAACCCAACATACTAAGGACAGGTTCTATCTAGCAAGAACCATCAACTGGTGGTTGCTACATCCAGAAGGAACTATTATGGAAAAGTAGGAAATAGGATAAGTAGGAAAAGTAGGTCTTTCAATTTCTTTTTGCTTCTCAAGTGTAATAAAAAAAAAAAAACTAGCTGGGCTCGGTGGCTCAGCCTATAATCCCGCGCCTTTGGGAGGCTGAGGTGAGTGGATTGCCTGAGCCCACGGGTTCAAGACCTGCCTGGGCAGCGAGACCTCATCTCTACAATAAATCAAAAAATCAGCCGGGCGTGGTAGCGCATGCCTGTAATTCTAGCTACTTGGAAGGCTGTGGCGGAAGGATCGCTGGAGCCCAGCAAGTCGAGGCTGCGGTGGCCGGGAGCGGCCACTGCACTCCAGTCTGGGTGACAGAGTGAGACTCCAACTCAAAAAAAAAACAAAACTACAGCCAGGTGGGGCAGCTCATGCCTATAATTCCAGCACCTTGGGAGGCCAAGGCGGGAGAACTGCTTGATCCCAGGCATTCAAGACCAGCCTAGGCAACATAGTGAGACTTCGTCTCTACAGAAAAGTCAAAAAATTAGCTGGGCATGGTGGTGTGTACCTGTAGTCCCAGCTACTCAGGAGGCTGAGACAAGGATAATCTGAGCCCAGGTTCGAGGATGTGGGGAGCTGTGATTGTGCCACTGCACTTCAGCCTGGGCAACAGACTGAGACTCTGACTCAAAAAGAAAAAACATTACAGCCATTGGCTATACACGTCACATGCCTCCAGATGCGAGGTCCTGAGAAAGGCCTATCACTTATATATTGTCTCCGGCCTGAAATGCATTCCCTACATCTAACCAGCAGGAAACACCAGAAAAGCCCCAAGTGAGAAATGGTTTTTTAAAGGGGGAGACTGAATAAGCCCGAGAATTAATCAAAAATGTCAATGCCATAAAAGAAAAGGGTTGTGGAAATATCCCAGCATAAAATGAGATGAGAAGGACTTGGTACCTAAAATCAATGCCCAAGCCTAGCCTGAATCCTGTCCTAGAAGGGAATCATTAAAAAGGACATTACTGGGTCAGCTAACAACTAAAATATGGATGGTAGATTAGATTAAAACACGAAATGTTAAGTTTACTCAAGTTAATGATACTTTGGTTATGTAACAACATATTAGGCAATACACACTAGTATTTAGGGGTAAAAGGTGGTGGTCTGCAACTTATTCGGAAGTAGCTCAGAAAAAAAATATTGTATATCTACATATATAAGCAGCATTCAAATGGCAGGAAGTGTTAACAATAGGTCAGTCTTGGGTAAAAGATATATGGCTCTTTAATCTTGCAATTTTTTTTTGTCAGTTTGAAATTATTTACAAAACAAAACAAAACAAAAAGACAGGAGCAGCTAGCTTGAGGGGATTCCACTAGCCAAATCTTGGACAGTTTGAACACCAAAATGAATAATGACAGGAAGGGACTGTAATACATTGATTTCAGAATAAGAATCCATGAGTCCAACTGATACTGATTTTTTAATCTATTATTTTTATTTTATTTCAAAAATTGTTTTTTAAAGGGGGAGGAAAAGCTCTTCTTCTTCCAAAGGAAGCCAAATAACAAATACAGAAGGCATGACAAATATAAAATCACTATTTCTATGTATCCTAATAACTGACTCAGGTAAGTCTCATGGCTATGTAAAACACAAGGAATGAGATATTCACCGTGTCAGATTTCTTACTAATTACAAGGGGAATAGGGTACCTTTACAATGGAGAAACCTGGCAGATATCACCTTAACCAAACAAACTATCAACCTTCAAGGAGAATTGGCACCATGTGGCCATATTAAACATCAACCAGAGAGTATTTGTACCAAAAACATTTGATTGGATTCTAATCATGAGGAAGCAAGCTGCTAACAAATCCAAATGGAAGGACACACTACACAACAGCTGGCCTGAACACTTAAAAAATATCAATGCCATGAGCCAGGCGTGGTGGCTCATGTCTGTAATCCCAGCACTTTGGGAGGCAGAGGCAAGAGGATTGCCTGAGCCCACAGGTTTGAGACCAGCCTGGGCAAATTGCCTCTACAATAAACCAAAAAAACAGGCATGGTGATGCACTCTTGTAGTTCCAGCTACTTGGAAGGCTGAGGTGGAAGGATCGCCTGAGCCCAGCAGGACAAGGCTGCAGTGGCCATGAGCGTACCACTGCACTCCAGCCTGGGTCACAGAGTGAGACTCCAATTCAAAAAAAAAGGTCAGTGTCATGAAAGACAGAAAGGCTGAAGGCCTAAATTAAAAGCAACTATCAAGATGCATTATCCTTAGGTCAGGTGTGGTGGCTCACACCTGAAATCCCAGCACTTTGGGAGGCTGAGGTGGGAGGATTGCTTGAGTCCACGACTTCAAGACCAGCTGAGGCAACATAGCAAGACCTCGTCTCTACACAAAAACTTAAAAACTAGCTGGGCATGCTGGCACATGCCTGTAGTCCTAGTTACTCGAGAAGCTGAGGAGGAAGGATCGCCTGAGCCCAAGAGATCGAGGCTGTGGTGAGCCGTATTCATGCCACTGCACTTCAGCCTGGGTGACAGACCCTGACTCAAGAAACAAAAGCTATAAAGGACATTGAAACATCTGGGGAACATTAAACAGTATATGCTAGATAACAGCATTATTTAAAAGTTAAATTTCTGGATTGTGATTGTTCTTTAGCTATAGAGAAGAATGCCATTTTTAGGAAAAACATGTTGAAGAAGCACAATGTCTGCAAGTAACTATTCAATGGTTCAGCAAAATAATGTGTGTGTGAAAAAGAATAGTAGGGCAAATGCCAACATATGGTAAAAGAAAATTTTTTTTATTTTTATTTTTTTTATTTTAGAGATGTGGGGTATAATTCAGGGTTAGGTATACAAATGTTCATTATGCAGATACCCTTGTTAATGAGGTGTGTCCCCCCCAAGGCAGATTCCCACTACTGCTGCAAAAAAATGTTTAAATAAAGGTTAACCTTTTTTTCACATTACTTCATTTAACATCGTAAAACCTAGGAAAGTATAGAAATCAACTACTGCTGAGAAAAGGTTTGAAGGCCTAAAATAGACCTTGGGAGAGATAGGGAAAACTGGTGGGTACGCAGGGGCTCATGTCCTAAGCAGCATGGAAAGCCTAATTTAGAACAAAGTAGTGGTTTACCAGGTTGCAACCTCCTAGTCCCACTGGCTTAGAATTCACAATGCAAAAAGGTGTTATATAAGGACTGCCTCTTCTGGAAATTTATGGAAGATTCATAGTAACCAGTCTTGTTACTGGTATCTTTAAGAATTACTTATACTTTTTACCCAAAAAAGTTTTCCCCTAAATCCTTGTTTCAATGAAAAATTTATTTTATGCCACTCTAAAACTTGTATTCAGTTTAATATCTTAATTTTGCAAAAGAGGTGGTCTGTATTCAAAGAAACCCAAAGCTGTTTATCAGGTAAACTTGTATGAGAACTAGCTGAAGGAGCCCTTCTAAATACTTGATGGGAGAGTAGGAAGTACTGACTTAGGGTGCTCCTTGTTAACTGAAGGGGAAAAATTACAAAGAAGGAAAAGACAATAACATGATGCGTTGATCTTATTTTGATTGTGCCCCCCCAAACTCTCCTGAGAGGAGCCCCCAAACGGTCTTAAATATAGCCACAGGGTCAGGATGTACAGTGTCCACAAACTTAGAAATGTCCTCAAATGGGACTTCTTACCCACCTCTTGGTAGGAAAGCACATAGTAACAAATAATGAAGATTAATTTATTTTCCTTTTTTACAAAGGGTAACCTCTACCATACTGAATAAGAGAAAGCTGAGTATAACTAAAGAAAAGCCTATATCCACCTTATTGCAGAAAGGAGGCATGCAAACCCAAAATGTTCTGTATATTTGAACTAGTTGAATATTCCTATCCAATATCAAGGCCAACACATACTGCAATTCTGAAATGCTATTCAACTGAACAGCAGCTCTGCTTTCATGTATCTGAGATCTGTAACAATTTGAATTCTGACAAAACTCTTGTCTTTCACCTTATCTATTTATATATACCTTATACTACTTATACTTTGATTTTTTTTCCATAGTAAGATAAATTCTAAACTGCCAAAGTAGGAGATCATATTCTAAAAGTAGTAAATGTAATCTTGCCTTTCCATAAAGAAGTAAACTTTATGTCAGTTTCTTTGTGGATCAAATCAGAAGAGCAAAAGGAAAAAGGTTTCAATTTCTTTTCAACTAAAAAACTTAGACTTGCTTTTACTCCTCTCTGTTCTGAGCCTTCTGAGCAAATGGCACAGCAAGCTCCTTGTTCCTAACCCCTACAGTGTCTACTCCACTCTCAGCCCTCTGTGGCCTAGTCAAGAGGACAGGAACACAGCCACCAACCTCTAAAGTAAATCAACAAGAAGAGCCCATAATTAAAGAAGGCATCATACTGACCTTTCTGCACACTAAACACCAAAAAACAATGGAATAATGTTTACAGCTGAGAATTCAGATATTCATATGTAGAAAAAAAACCAGAAAAACATTCTTATTTGTAGAAGCTTGGAAATTACACCGCTCATATAACCTCTTGGATAAATTTCCTCAAAAGACACATTTCACTTCATTCAAACAAACAAAGTCCTAAGAAGTCTAACTCCTGTGAAAAACTTTAGGGAAAATTCAGAACCTTCAAGGATGAAGAAAATCCATAGTAACTTAAATGGTGATTAATAGCAGCAGTGAGGGAAAAAAAGTCAATTATATTTAAATTTATATTTATTTTTAAAATACCAATAAAAATTGTGTCAATCTTTTTAGAACATACTGTTCACACTAATCTTTAATATAAATGCTTATCTTGATATAATTTTTACAGAAAAAAGCATGAGATGAAACAGATAATTTTGGGAAGATTCTTCAATGAAATGCTCTGATATGGCATAATCTAATATTGGAAACCTCTCTACAAAGGCATAAAAGTATGCCTATCTTCTGATTCAGGAATTGATATGTGACTATAATTTATATAAAGATATTTATCATGCAGTTGTCTTGATAAACTTCATAAATATCCAGTAGTGTTTCTATTTTTATTTTTTAAAAAGTTAAAGGGCTCTGGAAAGAAAAGAACTGGAAGAACAGACATTAAAATGTTGCTGATAATTGTCTCTGAGTAGTAAAATCATGAGATAAGAGTTCTTTAGTTTTCTAACTTCTCTGCACTATACATGAATTACACTTGAAAAGGGAAAAAAACCCGCACAATGAGAAGGAACAAGGAAGGTTTACATTCAATTTTTGGTTTTGCTTTCTTGTATGTTTTGTATGACATCTGAGTTATCCTATTCACCCTCCAAAACCTGTTCTAAATCCTAAAAAAATAACCAAAATTATTATGGCTAGGACATTCACTTTAAATGAATTAATTTAGTGTATTAAGTTAGTGTAACCCAATATCTGTACACACTTTACATAAATACTGCATGAAGAATATTTGTGTACTTTTTTAAGACTCTTTTGTAGGATTCTGTGATACAGTGGAAAGTGCCCTTTGTGCTCCTGCAGCACCCTATTTTATCACTATCACCGTACTTTTCACACACTATTATGATTTTCTCTTTCTCTCCTGACAAACCGTGACTCCACATCAATGTTGGCACAGTGCCTGGCAAATAATTGACATTTGGTAAATATTAGATGCACTGGTGAGTGGATGAACAGATAGACTTACATACAAACATGAATGGAGGCATGGACAAACTAATGCAGAGACAGATGGACAGGGGAATGGAGAGCTGTGCACAGAGACAGATGCATAGATACTTCAGAAAGACTTTCAGTCAAACACCTAGTTCCAGTCCCAACTCTTGCCAATGACTATGTAACAAGTCGCTCCACCTTTCTGGATCTTTTAGTCATACACAAAAAGTGATTAGACTAGATGACATCTGAAAGTTCCTTCTCGCTAATAAATTAGACGACTAAGATTTAGGGCATATTATTTTCATTCTAAACAATTAGAAAGGTTTGTTGGTGGGTGTCTGTTATCACACTGTTGATCATATTTAAGATTTAAATGATGCCAAATCCTTGATAGGGGTACTATTCCTGATCCTACCATTGTTCCTATATAAAACATGATTCACTTTAAGATGATGGCTTACTACATACTTTTTAGAAATGCAGTACTGTGAAGTTTTAACCAAGAGCCTCAAACACCAACATACTGAGGGCAAACTTAAAGTCATTTTTCTTTTCAATCAACATAAAAACACATTCCACTCTATTGGTGAATTTATATCTTTAAACGGAAGGCTTTCTGCAAAGTGGTAAAACAATCCTTCATGATAAAAAATGTAGTCCCTTACCTTTTACTTTTTTATCAAACTTCTTCTGTTTCATTTTTTCTCGGTTTTCTTGTCTAACTTCCTTTGCTGCATCTAATGCTTCCTGACTACCCCAAACTTCAAGAGACCGCTTCACAATCTACAACACAAAATCCATATTTAAATCAGCTATGAGTCAGGGGTGCAAAATATTATAAAGTTATAATTATCAAACCATTAAGTACCAAAGAATGTTCTAATTCTAGTATAAATTTATAAATACTTATTAGAAATTTAAAAGATTTTAAATACTAATGATAAGAAACAGCTCTAATAAAACATCTATCTAAACCTATAAAACTCTCAGTAAATGTATGCTGAATTAGATTTTAAGTAGGAAAGTTGTCCTCTGTACTGTTGTGACAGGAATCAACAGAAGTACATGTGGTCAGTGGGTTTTTGGCAGTCTCACCAAAGAAACAGTTTGTTGACAGATTAACCACATCAGACCTAAATATGAGATCATCTCCAATAATTTCCAGCCACAGGGAACCAGCAATTACTACTCCTCATCTCCTTCTGGATCAGTAATCATTTCCATCCACTTGGCTAATTCTGATCTGTAGGACATGAATTTAAAAAAAAACAAAAAACAAAACTTTGGTACCTAAATGACCTAAAAAGTCTTCATTCTAGTTTTAAAACTTTGGATTATGTACCTTTTACTCTTTATAATATCATTTATACTTTAAGAAAATACTTTACTCACTAAGAATCATGCTCAGGCTACCTCTCACAATATGTTAAGGAGAACAAAATATAGCCAAACTCAAATTTCTTAACATAATTAACTGATATACCTACATTTCATAAATTCAAAGACATCACATTTCCCACAATTTTAATATATCTGAAAATGCTATATCACCAATGTACTTAATGGTACTTTAACAACTCTGAAACAATAAGCGGTTCAGAAGAATCAGACTCTGAATGCAAAGTAGTTTTGGAATACCTTAACAAATCTTTTGCACTTGTATTTTCCCTTTTATGTATGCACAAGTGTAATATATGACAAAAAACTATAATAAAGTCTAATGGCATTTGTTAAGTATAAAAAGCACAAGAAAGCACACGTTAGTTTAATTAGCATTTAAAAAATTTTAATGGTACATAAAATAATGACGAATCTCCTAATAGTCTAATATTTAATGAAATTCAGTATAGGTTTGTTTTATAATGTGACTTCTTAATCATATTTGAAGATATGGGATTTTCTAGTATCAATATATTCCAATTCAAGCTGTGCTCTAAAGCAGTGCCTTCCAGTATTTTAATATAATGGCTCAAAATGAATATTAAAGTATTTGTACCATTCTGGGGTAGATACAGGAGGCTGTTTGTGACTCAAGGCAACTGGTCTGGGCATTGGTAGCCCCAGCCACTAAGTGGATAGATATCTTGGCACACTTGTGGCCATTGGCAGCAAGTGGCGTTGAAAAGAACTGCTCTGAGATTCACTAGAGTTGCATAGACAACTGATAGCATTCCAGATGAGTATTTCCCAAACAGACCTAGATTTTAAGTATTTGAAATTCCTAAATGTTTTTTATAGATTTTTTTTTTGAGAGGTATTGGGGGTGGAGAAGGGCAGAGGAACAGGATCTGACTCCTATTCCAAACTTTTTTAGTTTCCAAATTGTACTCCTAGCATCACTCAATAGCAACATATTTGTTCCAAAGTGCCATACCAAATAGCAAAATAAGAAAACATTATGTTATTAAATGTCATCATACATGACTGTGACTCATATGCAAAACAAGAAAAGGGAAAGGATCTTTTTCATTCTCTTAAGCAAAAACTAAACTAATTATAATTAGTTCATTGTTAAAACTTTACCTGAACCGGAGTTTAAAATTAATGAACACAACTTATTAGAGACCTGTAATTTTAAGTAGAGTTTCATATCGCCCCATTGTGAATGATGAGGATTTTTCTTCACAATAAATTTAAGAGCTGGTTCTCTTTTTTCCAAATCACAGTCTTTCAGAAGGTATTCTTGTTTGGCTTCTGTTTTTGTTATAAGCTTGTGTTTATCATCAGCATCTCTGAAAACAGATTAAGTCCATTATATAAAATCAGTTATTTCAAATAAGCTAAGTTTTCTTTTTCTTCCCCACTGTATGCATCTATAGCCCAGCAGCCGAGGGACATGTAAAAAAACTCTTTCTTGTAATTCTCATGGTTAAATTAGCAGCATAAACATTCTACCAGAAAAATACTTTATCTTTTACTTATTCTGAGAAGACATATTAGCAGCAGATCCATGTCATTTAACAATTTAAAAATGTATTTAAAGTCTCTCTTATTCCAGAAAGGACTTGAAATAACTTTTAAAAGTAGAAAAGACATAAATAAAAACAAAGACTCAATGAGAAAGAAAATATTAAAGGATAAAGTCAAAATGGACAAGAAATAAGGAATATAATATCAAGATCCAATTGGGTGCAGTTGGTTCAGAGCTTCCAGTTGGTTCAGAGCTTTTTCAGAATCAAAATAAAATGGAGACATGGTCAGTTACAAAGTTCTTCTCATACATTTGTTCTCCACCTATAAGCTACGTATTGTTCAAGGCACTAAGAATATAGCAGAGAATAAAATAAAGTCTTGTTTTAATGAGGGTCACATTCTAGTGAGGAGAAGACAGTGAACAAACATAATGACAGGTAAAAGTATGATAAGGAATATAAAACACAGTAAAGGAATAGAAATTTTCAGACAGACTAGGTCATCAGAGAAGGCCACTGATAGTAGGATATTTAAGCAGAGGCTTAAGAAGCTAGAGAAAAGCTTTTTGAAAAGCTAGAGAAAGAACATCCCTAGTAAAGGAACAGCAAGAGCAAAGGCTCTACAGCAGGAGTACACTGCAGCTGGAGCTCAAAGCAAGAAGGCTGGTGTAACCACCACACCTACAGTAAGCGACAGTGAGGAGTGGTAGGAGACTGAGTCAGAGACAGACAGGGTCTTGCAAGTAATGGTGAAGACAATTTTGTTCTGAATAGGGTTAGAAACCATTAAAAAGTTTTGAGCAAAATGCTGTATGAAGAGGAGACTCCAGGAGTACAAAAGGCAGAGGTGGGGGCCAGAGACCAGTTAGAAACTACTGCAGTGCTCCAGGCAAGAACTGATAGTGGCCTAGACTAAGGCAGCAGTGAGAAAGAGGATGAGAAGCAGGTGGATTCAGGATACGGTTTGACCTAGGGCCAAAAGGATGTGGAATTAAGGGCAGTAGAGAAATATCCAATGAATAAAGTTGACCTGTACTGAAATGTTATACACTAAAGAACAGGTATAAGTCAAAAAGGGGAGAAATCAAGGATTCTATCAGAGAATCCTATCACAACACCACAGGACTTAAAACTGGGAATAACTTTAGAAAGCTACATAATTGGAACTAAAGGAGAGGACATGTAGACTCCAACGTGCTAAAATTATAATCTTTGAAGATATCAAAAGGAAATAAATGGAGGTCTGTGTTCCTAATTATATTTACTCATAAAAGTATTTTTTTTCCAAACTATGACCCAACTTTCTTTAAATTAAATACAACAGTTGCTTCTGTTTTCTCATGGAAATATATGTGGTGCTTCAGTTCCCAAAAGCTATAGTGGCTTTTAAAGAGAGTGATGACAATACTGTGGACCTTAACCATTGTATAAATGGGAAATAAGCTTATAATTTACAGTTCCACCTGGGGTGCCAGAACAGTCTCAGTCATATATCTGATCATGAGACCAGGGGCATCATCTTCCATTATCCCTCTCTACTAAGGACTCCACTCAGCAACAAGCCAGTGATGAAGGCTTCCAATGTCTGAGCAAAGACTGCAAAACAATGGGTTATCTAGGCAGGTGAGGAGCTGATCCAGGGCTGTAGGTACAAGAAAGGAACAGAGAACAGACAAGAGGGCCAAGTAAGATATCAAGACTGGAACTTCTCTGTGCAAAAGACACCAACACAGGATCTGGCTGAGTAAACAGTAGCGATAGGAGAACCATGTGAGGTGAGAAAGATTATTCTGGGGTGAATAAACAGAGATAAAGTCTAGGAGAAGAAGAAAAAGAATGGCAGAAGAATGTGATTTTTCCTCATCTATTCGCTTTATGTGGGTAGCAAAAGATGAATGGGAAAAGGTGTTCTGAGCTCCCCTATTCTCAGTGAAGATCCCAGTACTCTGACCAAGTTGTCAACATACATGGGATAACAAAGAACTAGATCATTAGGGCTGGATGAAGAGAAGAGTTAGGAACCTGCTACTGAGAGATGGTTTAAAAAAAAAATCCACACCAACAGAAAGGAAAAGGAAATTTATACGGCAGAATTAGGGCATCCTGCCTATTTTATGGGGCATATTATAAACTTTAATAAGCACAAGCTTACTGTATTTCTTTGGCAAAATGTAAACCATATAAATTTTAGGAAACTCCCTAAATAAAAGTCATAATTACAAAGAAAATATCAACTTCAAATAGACACACCTATTGTTTTACCCTAAACCTGCATGCAAACACTAGCAATTAAGAATAGCATCTTAAATAAAAATAAGTACCTGCAGTTATCACAAGTTGCCAAATCAAAGTGGCTCATAAGATAAGAATCCATAAAATCTTTCCCACATTCTTCACATATTGTGTAATCAAATTCCATAATAGGCCCTAAGGAAAGGAAAATGAGTTCTTTAAGTTTCTTTTGTGTGTGTGTGTGTGACTGGAACAATACACTTTTCTCTATGTTATTAGCTTATCATCAGATATTTTATGTCTAATATAAATACACTTAAGTAAAAGACATAGCCTTGATCAAGTTTTTACCTTTAAAAAGGAAAAAAGAAGAAATGATATAAAGAAGAAAACCCTAGCAATCCAACAAGTTTTTCTGAATCCCAACCATGTAAAAGGTACTTGTATTAGTGTTACACTGCACCTGTAAGAAACCTCTGGCCGGGCTCAGTGGCTCATCCTGTAATCCCAGCACTTTGGGAGGCTGAGATGAGTGATTGCCTGAGCCTGCAGGTTCGAGACCAGCCAGGCAACTTGGCGAGAGCTCATCTCTACAATACATCAAAATTTAGCCAGGCATAGTAGTGCGCACCTATAATTCCAGCTACTTGGAAGACTGAGGTGGAAGGATCATCAGAGCCCAACAGGTTGACACTGGGGTGGCCATGAGTGTGCTATAGAACTCCAGGCTGGGTGACAGAGAGACTCCAACTCAAAAAACAAACAAAAAAACTATTACACATTGAGTGGCTTACAACAACACATTTATTATCATATATATCTGTTGTTCAGTCTGTCATGGGTCTCAGTGAGTGAAAATCAAGGGGTTGGCAGGGCTGCATTTCTTTCTGAAGGCTTAAGGAGAATTCATCTCCTTACCTTTTCCAGATTCTAGATGCCCCTGCATTCCTTGACTTATCACCTCTTCCTCCATCTTCAGAGCCAGTGACAGTGGCTTCTCACATCGCATCATTCACTTCTTCCATAATCACATGTCCCTCTGACTCACACGTCCCTCTTCCACTTTCAAAAACCCTTGTAATTACATTGGGCCCACCTGGGATAATCCAGTATCATCTCCCATCTCAAGGTCTTTAATCTCAATCTTATTAGCCAAGTCCCTTTTGCACAGACACCTTTGGGGGCTAATATTCTACCACAGTACTGTTGAAAGTACAAAAGAGATTAGTCCCAGAGTGGGAGGGAGAAGAGGGATCTACTTACAGAACAGGGGTGACAGGCACCAACATATTACACAGTAAAGAGCAATAAAGAGCAAGGTAATAGTAGAAGAGAGACGATACAGAATTCACTGCCAAATGGGAAAATTTTTTTCTCCTTCCATTCCACTTCCTACCAGCAAAGCAAACAGTTTCCTCATTATCTGTCTCTACTACCAGATTATAAACTCCTTGAGAGAAAAGATTGTATCTAACTATGTATCCTCAACACTCAACACCCATATAGAAACTAGGTAGGATAAAGCTAGATTTTTTTTTTTTTTTGAGTGGGAGTCTCACTCTGTCACTCAGACTGGAGTGCAGTGGCATGTTCATGGCCACCACAGCCTCACCCTGCTGGGTTCAGGTGATCCTTCCGCATCAGTCTTTCAAGTAGCTAGAACCACAGGCGTGTGCCACCATGCCTGGCTAATTTTTGTATTTATTGTAGAAACAAGGTCTCGCCAAGTTGCCCACAGTGGTCTTGAACTCTTGGGCTCAGGCAGTCCTCTCGCCTCAACCTCCCAAAGTACTGGAATTACAGGCTTGAGCCACCACACCTTGCCTAAAGCTAGATTTTTTAAGGACTTCAAAGTTATAGTTTAGGATAACAAATTCTAGAGACAGATGGTGGTGATGGTACAACATTGTGAATGTATTTAATGCCACTGAACTGTATACTTAAAAATGGTTAAAATAGTACATTTTACATTAGGTATATTTTACCACAACTTTTTAAAAGAAATAACTTTTTTTTTTTGGAAAAAGATATTAAGGGCCGGGCTCAGTGGCTCAGCCTGTAATCCCACGCCTTTGGGAGGCTGAGGTGAGTG